CTGAGTCAACCCTGAGCCGGTGAGATTTGAACCGCTGAACTGCTGATCTAGCAGTAGCCTGCAGTGCTGCATTTAACCACTGCGCCACCTCGGCTCTTCATCTGAATCACCACCCTACCTATTCCATGAGCTTTATTTTTTGCCCTAAAACTGTCCAAATGATTGGGAACAGTTATCCTGTCTCTGGTATGCAGTGAGGGATGGCCTTCCTTCTTTCCTTCCTTCCCTCCCTCCCTCTCTCCCTCCTTCCCTTCAATTTCTACAGCCACCCATCTTAGTCAATAACTCCAGGTGGCTTACAATTTAAAAACATATACCCTGTTTTCCCAAAAATAAGACCTCCCTGGATAATAAGCACAATTGGGATTTTGAGCGCATGAGCTAAAATAAGCTCTCTCCAAAAATATTGCAACACAGCAGCGGCCATGAGGTGACGCACCTCAAAAATAATAAGACCTCTCTAAAAATAAGGCCGTGTTTATTTCGGGGGTTAAAAGAAAATAAAACCCTGTCTTATTTTCAGAGAAACACAGTAACAATCAAAATATTAAAAAATATTTTAAAAGAATAAAAATAGACCATCCAAAATAATAGACCCATCCAGAATAAATATAGGCAGCAGCTGAGATACTTGACCAGTTAGCAATACAGCCAGAAAAGGGGAGAGGGCTTAATGTATTCACCATCCTAGTTTGGGGACCATGACCAAGATTTTAGGGTCCTCTGAAAGGTTAAGAGGGTTGGGGCCATTCCAATCTCTGAAGAGAGATTGTTCTATAGAACAGGGGCCACTCCAGGAAAAGCTTCAATTCTACTGTAGGCCCTGCCAGATGATAATCTTTGGCTGATGAGATCTGCAGCATGCCCATTCTTCTAGATCTAGTTGGATGGGTTGAGGCTTTTGGAAAAAGGTGATCCCTGTGTGGTCAAACAGGGTAGCAAGGTGGTGCCCAGTGGGTTGATACTTACTGGATTTCCTGGTAAACCTTTCTGCCCAGGTTCTCCCTGTAAAAGCAGATAAACATTGGGGGTTGATGCTAAAGGTAATGCATGATTGAAGCAACCTATACCCTGTATCTGTCAAGGTTTTGACAGATGCCCTAATTAACTCATGAAAAATGCTTTGCAAGTTGACAATATCAAAAGGAAGTTACTTACTTCTGGCCCTTGGATTCCTATGCCAGGGGTACCTGGTTCCCCCTAAAAAGTTGCAAAAGTTATGTCAGTGGAAACATGACTCTTAGTGAAAAGCTTTCAGCCCACAATTCTTGAGAAGAATTAGCTTCATGTTTCTCCTCCTCTTCCCTCCACCAAGGAACCCAAATCCATGTCTTAACCCATCCTATGGAGGCAGGGGTGGGTTGCTACCAGCATTACTGCCGGTTCCATGCACAGTTGCACCTAAAAAGATCTGCGCATGCGCACGTTAGAAAAGGGAGAAAAATTAAATTTTTGCAATGAAGATTGTTCTGCACATCAAGATGGCATCTCTGCTGATAGAACCGGTTCAGGGGCATGGCAGGCCGAGTTACTATCTACTCAGCTGAACTGGTCTGAACTGGTAGGAACCCACCTCTGTAAGGAGGACATCTGATCAGCCCTTACCTCCATCCTGCTCCATAAGCTTTATTTATTTTATTTATTGGCCTGGAACTCATGGTAACTACTTAACAATAGCTATTCATTTTTCTGTGAGTCTCTTTTATCATCCCAGGAAAGCTAAAAAGGGATGTCTGTGAAAGGGTCTGAATGAATACAAGCCTGGTTGGTACTCACCTGCAACCCCTTCAGGCCAGGAGGCCCCTGAATACCTGGAAGTCCCGGTTTTCCCTGAAAATTGGAGGAACAAAGAATGAAGAATTAGCCCAATGCATTTAGAACTTTTCAGTTCTTCCCCTTTGAAGGTATCTAGTTCAATGACATAGTGGACAAAACTCAAGAAAAATGTCTTCCATCTTTGACAATAGCCTATTCCAGTTGTACTGGATCACTTCCTATAATTCCCAGCCTATGTGGCCAATTACTTCTGCATGTACTGACGGAAGAGAAGATTTGTATTTCAGAGTTGAACTGTGAGGTCCTTGATATTCTCCGAGTTTGGAGGTTTTTCATTTTATTACCAAACTAAGCAAGTCATACAGATGCAATGGATGGCTGTGAAAGTTGGACCATAAGAAAGGCTGAGGGCCAAAGAATGGAGGCCTTTGAACTGGTGCTGGAGAAGATTCATGTGAATCCCTTGGACTCCAAGGCAATCCAGCCAGTCAGTCCTAGAGGAAATCAACCCTGACTGTTCTTTAGAAGGCCAGAGCCTGAAGAGGAAACTCAAATCCTTTGGCCACCTAATGTGAAGGAAGGATTCCCTTGAGAAGAGCCTAATGCTGGGAAAGATGGAGGGCAAAAAAAGAAGGGAATGGCAGAGAATGACTGGATGGAGTCACTGAAGCAGTCAGCATGAGCTTAAATGGACTCCGGAGGACAGTAGAGGACAGGAAGGCCTGGAGGAACATTGTCCATGGGGTTGTGATGGGTCAGACATGACTTTGCAACTAACAACAAAGCGAGTCCATCCATGGTGATAATGTTTGGTAATGAAATGTCTACAAAAAAAAGCAACTAAGCTCAGAGAATACAGAGGACATCACACATCTGTATGCCCAAGAAGATTGCTTTATCAAAGGGATGGAAATCTGAAGCCCTCCAGATGTTGGATTGCAACATCCCCATATTCCTAGCTAATAACGAGGGTTGTCAGGATTTATAGTTGTAGTTGCAACTTTCCCGCCCCTGCTTGATTAGGATCCACTTGATAGATAATTCTGAGGGAGAAAATTGATGACCCTGTGGTTGATTTGGGGAAAAAATGTGTATTTACACTGGAAAGGATGAACTACAGTGAATAGCTATATAAAGCCTTAAGCTTTTACATCTCTAAATTTTGGAAGGGTTTATTCAGATAATCGAGATGAATCTTACACCTCAAGTAAGAAGCCAAATTAAAGCATTATCAACAGATGGCTCCTCAGTCTCTGCGCGGGCATATCTAGTGCAGAGAAATTCACCTCATTTAGTAATTGGTTCCACTTTCACCACATTTCACTACCTGCCTTTCCACAACTTAAACCCATTATTCTTTGTCTCGCACTCTGGGATGAGAAAAAGTGGTCTTAGCTTCCTTTCTACGATATCCTCAGGTATTTAGACTGCTCTAATATAATCTTCAATCTTCTCCAGGCTAAAATAGGCCCAAAATACTTTCATTTCTCTTCACCCTTTTAAGCTTTACTTCACAATCTGAAAGGTACAAAGAGTTTTCTTCTTTTAAAGTAAAATCAACATGGAGATTTTGAGCAAGCTAGAATCTGAATCCCAGAGGGAAATTCTGGGATGCTTCTGTGCCTGAGTGAAATTGCAAAATACACAGAATATTAGACTGGGTCAACTTTGCCAGCATGAACAAGGGCATCTCTCTCAAGTTAAGGTTAAAGAGCAACATTTGTGAGAATATCACTAAAGCGCTATTACCCTAAGTTATCCTCCAAACCATCAGATATATTCTCAGCTTAATAAGATTACAGCTTGGTTTATTTTGTAGCCTTAATAAAAAAAAATCTCATGCAGATAGATTTTCTTTTGTTAATCAAAGTCTGGGAACATTAATGATTTGACATTCATTGTTTCGCAATGGTCACCTTTTATTCAAACAAGCTGCTTGATGGAGGTGTTCTGATATGTAAATCAAATCAGTTAATTAAAGGAATAAAAACCAGCAGTTAACACGGTGCCTTCAAATAAACTTGATTGGAACCACAGATGAGAGAAAATGTATCTTCATGCAATACGTAATTAACTGATGAAAGTCATTTTTGCACGCTCCGGCGATGCCTCTTGCCTTAAGAGATTAGAAAGATTCAGGGAAAAAGGATTCTGCCAATAGCTATTAGCCATGCAAGCTGGAGGCTGCTCTTCCCCAATTTGATGCCTTCCTGATTACAAAGTCCATAATCCCTAGACAACTTACTCAAGGCCACATGGAGTGAGAACCATGGGGCTCTGCAATCTGACACCAAAGGAAATTCAATTACTGGAAAACTGAATCCAGCCCTCAATGAGTTGGCAAGTTAGTCTAAAGCTGTGATGGCGAACCTATGGCCAGCCTGCCACAGGTGGCACGCAGAGCCATATCTGAGGGCACGCAAAGTCTCATTCCAGCAAGCATGAGCATGTTGACAAGCTGATTTTCAGCCTTCCGGAGGGTGGGGGGGAGACCATTTTTGTCCTCCCCAGGCTTCAAGAACTCCTCCGGAGACTGGGGATAGCGAAAAATGGGCCCAACGAGCCTATCAGAAGTTTAGAAACGAACTTTGGAGGCTTTCCTGAAGCCTGGGGAGGGCAGAAAATGGCCCAACAGGCCTACTGGAAGTCCGGAGGCTTCAGTGGGGCCTGCATGCATGCGCAGGGGGGAGCGTGAGGGAAGTGTGCACGTATGCGGAGGGAGAGGGCATTGTGTTGGGTGTGGGCATTCAGGTGCACCCTTTTGGCACCTGATTAGTTAGAAAGTTGTTAGAATATTCATGATTGGGAGAGACATAGTAGCAAGGTCAGCCAATGAATAGGCATAGCAACTAAGTTAGCCAATGGGAGCTTAAACAGATCTGACCCTGTGCTGAGAATCAAAACTGAAACAACTCTGTCTGTTCTGAATTCTGAAATGAAACCTGATGTTCTCTCCTGCTTGTGTTCTGCTTGTAACTTCTACCATGTTGAAAGAATCCACTGTTGGTATTGCACATTTATTCATCTGTTATTATGTATATAAATAAGTTAATGAATCCAGCTGAATTAGTTATCTGTGTGTGCTTTCTGGATTTGATTTTTTCTGCAACAAGCTCTGATAAAAGCTACTTACGGGTTTGCCTGGCTGACCCACACCTGGAAGACCAGGATCTCCTTTTTGACCAGGTGTACCTGGGATACCAACTGCTCCAGAGTCTGGGCTGATGATGGGACATGACTCACAAGCATCTCCCTGTAGGATGACAGAAGGCAGGTGAGAAACAACACACACTGATAGGTCAGTTCCAAGTTTTATACAAGTACTATGTTATTTCTTCATACAACATGTCAGACAGCCATTGATGACAGAAAGCTACAGAGCTGGAATGGAAGATGTGGGATTCTTCACTGGTCATGCTCTCCACATCCACAACAGTGTAGCCACGGTGCACCACTCAAGCTTTGTGCAAACAGATTGTTTAAATCACTTATGAAGAAGGTTTAGAGAAAGAGGAATAAGCAACCAGAGGCTCATAGACATAACTGGTAGCAGAGGAATCCACTATTCTGTGGAAATATATGAAACTAGCTGATAACCCGACATTGCCCAGGAATTTATTTATAGGGGGGAAAATGTCTGGACCAAACGTAATTTCTAATGTTGGATTTTCCCCCTTACCAGAGGGAGCCCCTTTGTGGAGTACTGTGAAGCCGTAACCATGGCAAATCCACTGTGCTGCACAGTAGAAGCCATTTCACGTCAGTACAGTAGAAGCCATTTTAAGGCACAACAGGCTGTATCTTAACAGAACACACACCCCAAGGGGTGTTAGGGGTATCTTACCCCACAGTATTTTTTTTCCAGAGAGTAAGTCATCTGTGTACCAAGTTTGGTTGAAATTGCTCAAGGCGCTCCAGAGTTATGCTGCAACACACACACACTCATTTGCTGTTCCCAAGAAAATCACATATAATTCATTAGGAACTGACCTCTAAAGAGATTCTGCTTTAAATATTATTTTCATTGTTTGATAGAATAAACAATTTGTCTGAGATGTCATATTTTTTACAGGGGGAACAGTCAATCCCTCATTCCTCCCTCCCTCTCTTCTCCTTCCTTCCTTCCATCCATAAAGCTAGATTCCCCCCTCTCTCCCTAAAGCTAGATTCCTTCCTCCCTCCTCCCTCCCCCCTCCCTCCCTAAAACTAGATTCCTTCCTTCCTTCCTTCCCTTCCTCCCTCCCTAAAGCTAGATTCCTTCCTTCCTTCCTTCCCTCCCCCCCCCCAAAGCTAGATTCCTTCCATCCTCCCTCCCTCCTTCCTTCCGCCAGGGGTGTCCATAAGATATGGTCAAAACAACCAAGATGACAATAATGATGGTACAAACAGCACTCTGTTTGTTATGTGTCATATGTACTCTACCTTGACTTTTTTTTAACCATAACTGTGGATACCCCTGCTAACTCTCTTTATAAATGACTGTGTTCCTCTAGATTTACAAATGTGTTAAAATTATCTCTTCTACTTGCTGAAAGCTGCAAGTTTGGTGGATGAGAAACAGTTTAGTCAGGGTGAGCTTAATTGTTGGTATGGAGTATTAATAGGTGTCCAAGCTATTTTTCTTATGAGTTCCCAGTGTTTCAAAGGAGCGGACTCTCACCTTTTCACCTTTCACCCCTGCTGGTCCTCTGATGCCAGGCTCCCCAGAAAGGCCAGGTACACCCGCTTCGCCAGGTGTGCCCGGATCACCTGGGTTTCCTCCATCACCCTGGGAAGCACAAAAGTTTAACAGATTAACAGACAGATTAACAGAGTTGGAAGGAACATTATAAGTCATCTAGTCCAACCCCCTGCTCAAGCAGGAGACTCTACACCATTTCTGACAAATGGCAGTCCAATCTCTGCTTGAAAGCCTCCAGTGATGAAGCTCCCACAACTTCCGAAGTAACTTCTGTTCCATGGGTTGATTCTTCTCATTGTCAGAAAATTTCTCCTTATTTCTAGGTTGAATCTCTCCTTGGTCAATTTCCACCCATTGTCTCTTGTCCTACCCTCAGGTGCTTTGGAGAATAGTTTGACTTGCTCTTCTTTGTGGCAACCCCTGAGATATTGGAACACTGCTATCATGTCTCCCCTAGTCCTTCTTTTCAACAAACTAGACATACCCACTTCCTACAACCATTCTTCATATATTTTAGCCTCCAGTCCCTAAATCATCTTGGATGCTCTCCTCTGCACTCTTTCTAGAGTGAGAGAGAGGAAGAGAGAAATGAAAACTCTTTTGAGAATGGCCTTCTCTCTTATTCCTCTTATTCCTCACTGAAGAATCGAAACTATGCATGTACACACACACACACACACACACACACTTAAGATATGAAGAAAGTTCATCCTTCTAAACCAAAGTGGGTCTTTGGTAGACAGCAAAGCATGCTGAATTTATATGACCCAAGTCTTACATTCAGTGTGGCTGTATTCATGCATCATGCTCAGACAAATTCAGATGTAATAGTTACAATTGCACAACTCCCTAAATGCGTGCTTCCGTATATGTTGTGTCTGTGATGCTATACAATATAACAGCAGACAATACCCAGAGCAATGTGCTACAAGAGTCATAGCAGGTCTTCTGTAGCATGGTCATAGAACTGGTACTAATACAGAGGTGGTATTCAGCATGTTCTGACCAGTTCTGGAGAACTGGTAAATACCACCTCTGACTGGCCCCATCCCCATCTATTCTCTGCCTCCCAAGCCCCAGCTGATTGGGAGGGAATGGAGATTGCAATATCCTTTCCCCAGGAGTTGGGAGGGAATGGGGATTTTGCAGTATCCTTCCCCTGCCACGCCCTCCAACCCATGCCCACAGAACCGGTTGTAAAAAAAAAAAAATGAAAAAGGAGGATTTTTGGGACTAAGCATGTGCTTTTTACTGTCTCAGGAAACCTAGGTCAGAACAACATGATGCTTACGAAAGCCAACACTAGCTAAAGATTTACAGCAGTTGTGATTTCACATTTTTTGTGTATATAATAATAATAAGAGTGGGTGCCTGGTGGGCTTATTTTATCTCCTCAGCAGCAAGGTCACAGTGGTCTGCTGGGTGTCAGTTAACACAATGCCAAATCCTCTGACCACTATATTATATATCATTTCTCCTAAATTCTATGAAACCTTTCCAATTCCTAATGCTAATTCCAGGAAGTGGCTACGGATGGTCAGGAACCCAGTGCAAGGTTGCCAGGCAACGCAGAGGGGACGGTGGCGGCTGTGAGAGAAAGGTATGCGAGTGCACAGGCCAAGATGGTCCGCTTTGTAAGGGTTGCTAGGCAACTGCGGTTCTAGTTCTTGAGCCTCGGGGCCTGTGTGCCTTTCAGAATGGCATAAAAAGGAATTTCCAGAATTGAATTATTCCTCAGTTCTAAAGAACAAGCTGCTTCTGCCGAAATTATTTCATCTATATTCTTGAACGATGCAAGAAACCTTCCCCTCCACCTCATTGTGCTCTGGCCTAACGTGCATACCAGTGGTGGGTTCCTACCAGTTTGAACTGGTTCGGCCAAACCGGTAGTGGTTTGACAGCCTTGGTTGCTAGAACCACATTTGTTAAGTGAATCACTGCAGTTGCTAATATAATAACACGGTTGTTAAGTGAATATGGCTTTCCCATTGCTTTTGCTATCAGAAGGTTGCAAAAAGGAACCCCATGACGGAGGGATACGGCAATGGTCATAAGCATGAATCAGTTGTCAAGCATCCGAATATAAATCATGTCACCATGAGGATGCTGCATTGATCATAAGTGTGAAACATGGTCATAAGTCATTTTTTCAGTGATGTTGTAACATTAAACGGTCACTAAGTCGAGGGCTACCTCCTGTAACTTATATGCATTTACACCCATACAGGTAGTCCTCAATTTACAACCACAATTGGAGCCGGAATGTAGGCCGTTAAGGAAAATGGTCAATAAGTGAGTCACATCGGATTTTGCCATTTTTTTTGCCACACACTTGTTAAGTGAATCACTGTGGTCATTAAGTGAATTATATGGTTCTTAAGCAAATCCATGCCCCCCCCCAGTTAGCTGGGAAAGTCACAAATGATGCTCATGTGACACCAGGACCCTGCAACTGTCATAAATAAATGTCAGCTGCCTGAATTAACACATAACCACAGTGATGGTTGTAACTACGAGGACTGGCTGTAAGTCATTTTTTCAGCACCACAGTAACTTTGAACAATCAATAAATGACTGGTGTATAGGTAATTTACCTATACGGATAATTTACATCTATAGGTAAATTACAGTGACCATTCATCTTTTATTATAAAGGCCCGTTCTTTATTTCAGAAAGCTGGCCTTTAGATTTATTTCATTTAATTATATATTTTCTTAGTTTGGCCCTTGAAGTTTCCTTTCTAAGGTGTGTGTGTGTGTGTGTGTGTGTGTGTGTGTGTGTGTGTGTGTATGTACATGTATGTATGTTTTATGTTCTAATGAACAGATGACTGAGGAACGTGGCTTCAACAATTATTTATTGATCAAGTAACAGTAAGAGCGAACAGTGCTAACAAGAACAGAATGGAACCGGCAACAGAGCCGCCTGACAGCTATTTATATGGGCAGCTGTCAGGTGAGGAACCAATAAGTGAACAGCATCTCTCCCGCCGGCCGGCAATTGCGCCAGAGCCAATCAGGGCTTTCCCCTGATCTGACTGCAGCTGCCGGCTGTATCCGGGAGGACGTAAGACTGCTTTCCTCCGGATTGCGCATGCATAATCCTTTAAGTACTCAGGATGTCTGCGTGTGCTCTGGGAACGCCTCTGCAGAGAAGTGTCCATTGTTGTCATCGTCGGTTCGTGCTCATGACGCAGCCAACCCCCAACTCAGTGCCAAAATTTAAAGGTAGGACATCTGCCGAGATCGCAACGGGCGACGCACAGTTCAGGTTGCTGTTTTGGGATGTGTGTGGCTGGCAGGCGGTGTCCGGTGGAGTCTCTGAAGCTGGCACAGCTGGCTGGAGGAACGACCTTGTGGTCTTCTGGTGGCGAAGTTCATTTATATGGCGCCGCCAAAGTTTTCCATCACTGAGCTGGAACAGGGTCCCGTTATTTCTGTGATGAGTCCCGGTAGCCATTTGGGAGCACCTGCAAAGTTTTGTGTGAATACCCCTTCCTCCACCAGGAAAGACCTAGGGGGCCCTTGAAGTCGGGAAGCGGAAGGGGAATAAGAGGGGTGCAGGTGATCAAGTGTGGTGCGGAGGCAACGGCCATGAGTATCTTGGCAGTATCTTTGCCCGAGGCTTGGCAAGGAGTGGTATGTTGGGCCCTGAGATACATTTGGACTCTGGCCGGCCAGGGAAGGTGGTTCATCCAGACGAGAGTCTCTTTGGCCGAGCGGACAGCCCATTTGGCCAACCCGTTCCCGGAGGGGTGGTAAGGATCGACCTGGGCATGGCGGATCCCCAGGCTAGCCAGGTATGTCTGGAAGATCTCGGACATAAATTGCAGCCCATTATCGGAAACTATGATGTCCAGGAGGCTGTGCATGGTGAAAAGGGTGTCCAGAATTTGGATGGTGGCGCCAGAGGTGGTAGTTTGTATCAGGAAAAGTTCGACCCACTTAGAGAGAGCGTCGACCACTATGAATAAGGTCTGACCTGCAAAAGGCCCTAGGAAATCCACGTAGAGGTGACTCCATGGGGCGGAAGGGATGTCCCACTCCTGAGGTGGACTGGCGGGAGGGGATGGACGAACACTCTGGCATGGAGGGCACCGTTGCACCCATCCAGCAATGTACGAGTCCATAGAGGGCCACCAGACATAACTGCACCCTAGGCTTTTCATGCGCACAATGCCTGGATGGTCCTTGTGGAGGCGGGTCAGGATTGGGTGGCGGAGCATGGAGGGAATCACAACTCGAGAGCCCCACAGGAGGCAACCCTCTAAACTGACAACTCATCACGGCATCGGAAATATGGCAGGAAGGTGGCAGATTGTGTGTCCGCCGCCCAGCCTCTGCAAACCACGTCCATAACTTTAGAGAGGACAGGGTCCTTAAGGGAGGACTGCGCAATGTCTGCTGCGGAGAGCGGCAAGCGCAGATCCTCAATGAGGCAAATGGAGGTGGTGGGGGCAGGGTCAGAGACTAGTTGGGTCGGGGGGTAGCGGCTCAAGGCGTCTGTGTGGCCCATGTGCTTTCCTGGCTGGTAGAGTAAGGTATAGGAGTAGGCAGCTAGGAATTCAGCCCAGCGAGACATATGAGGGGAAATTATTGGGGGGGTTGGCTTGTCCCCTGCCAATATCCCCAGGAGGGGTTTGTGGTGTGTAAGGAGTGTGAAGGGTCTGCCATATAGATAGGGGTGGAAACGTGTTCCTCCTGTCACGGCAGCCAGGGCCTCCTTGTCCAGCTGGCTGTAATTTTGCTCAGACTTGGACAAGGTGCGGGAGTAAAACACTATTGGGGCCTCGGTGCCATTGGGAAGGACGTGGCTCAAGACGGCCCCAACACTGAAGGGTGAGGCATCACAGGCAAGGAGGAGGGGAAGTCGCCCATTGTATTGAATGAGCACGGGGGCGGATGTCAAAAGGCCTTTGACAGACGCGAGCGCATGCACCTCGTGGCTAGTCCAGGCCCATGGCACGGAGCTGTCCAATAGGTGGTGGAGTGGCTCCGCCATGGTAACCTTGTGGGAAATGAAAGTAGCATAAAAATTTAGAAGACCCAAAAAGGCCTCCACCTTATTCATGGGTGTGGGCACCGAGGTAATTGCATCAATTTTGACAGGGGTGGGCTCCAAAATTCCCTACGCTATAAGTTTGTCTAACTCCGCATCGACCTTTTCCTGCAAGGCGAAAGGTACCCTTCTGGCTTTAAGTTGGATGGGCGCCACCGAGGGATCCAGTTTGAGGGAGATAGGGGTGCCGTTGTAACAGCCTAAAGCTGGATCAAATACATTGACAAATTCTGAGAGCAAAGAGTCAATGTCGGAGGCCAGGCAAAGTGAAATAATGCCTGAGATAGACAGGCCCAGGGCTCAGAATCAGTGAAGCCCTAACAAAGAGGCCAGGGGGTTGCGGACCACAATGAGAGGTAGGGGACCCTTAAAGTGGCCGTACTGGATGAGTAACATGCCGCAGTCCACAATGGGAATAGGGTTCCCCTGGTAGTCGCGAAGATGGCAGGTGGAGGGGGCTAGTTGACGTAAGCGGAGGTTCGGAAGCAAAGCCTTCAAAGTGTCCCATGACATTATGGACCAAGCAGAGCCAGTGTCTAGCTCCATTGTACATGGCTGGCCTTCAATGGAGACACAGAGGTGCAGCTTACCATGACCCCCCAAGGCTGTGGAGGCTGAGTCCACTACCCATTCGGGGTTGGTTCCTTCAGGTTCCATGATGGTGAAACACCCTTGTCATGTAGAGGAGGGAGTAGAGGCGGGCCAGTGGTTGGAGCCAGGTAAACTAGCTGCCCTTAATTCAGCGGGACCAGAATGGCAGATGGCTGCAATGTGGCCCTTTTTCTACACTTGTGGCAGATGGCTGCCTGGAATTTGCATGAGGAGCATAGGTGGCAGCCCCCACAGCTGAGGCAACTTCTTCCATCCCTGAGAGAGAGCAACTTTAGGTGGTCAATGGTGAGGTCTACTTCAGACTTCAACTTCTCAGGGCCAAGTTGACAATTAACAGAGGAGTGAGGGAAGGAAGGCATAGCAGCTGGAGGGAATCTCCTGAGGTCTGGGGTGGACTGATCGGCCATTTCAGAGGTGCGCGCCTCATCCACTGCAATTTTTAAGGTTAGTTCGGCACGGGAGAGGATACGGCGGTGTAAATTAATGTCCCTTAGGCCGTAAATAAATTGCTCGAAGAGGGCCTCATCCAAATCAATGAATTCACAGTGGATGGCGGCGGCCTGGAGAATGGCAACGTGTTCAAGGAACGCATCCCAAGATTCTGCCTCAGGGCGGAATGCCGTGAAAACAGAAGCGGCAGCCATGGTAGGAACTCGAGTGGGGTCCGTTTCACACGTCCTCGTCACCAGTTTTATGTTCTAATGAACAGATGACTGAGGAACGTGGCTTCAACAATTATTTATTGATCAAGTAACAGTAAGAGCGAACAGTGCTAACAAGAACAGAACGGAACCGGCAACAGAGCTGCCTGACAGCTATTTATATGGGCAGCTGTCAGGTGAAGAACCAATAAGCGAACAGCATCTCTCCTGCCAGCCACGAACCGCACCAGAGCTAATCAGGGCTTTTCCCTGATCTGACTGCGGCTGCCGGCCATATCCGGGAGGACGTAACAGTATGTATGTGTATATGACTCAGCTAATAAGAGAGGATAGTTTGTAGTTTAGAGGTTAATATAACTGCCTGACGTGTAAAAACAGCCCAAGTTCGAATCTCAGCTAGGGTATGGCTAGCTGATGAGAGCTAAATAGCTTGAAATAGATCTATACTAGCCTCCCTTCATTTATTCATCAGCAAAAACTATACATATACATATGTGTGTGTGTGTGTGTTTTACATACTAAATTAGGGTCACTATAAAGTGAATGCATCATGATGATTGCTGAGTTTTGAATAAGAAAAGGTTGTGTGAACTGCTGTTTCCAGGCTTTGGGTGATATGTGAACCAGCCAGCCATGCCCCCATTGGAGTCTGAATCTGCAGGGGAAGATGAGCTGGAAAAACAGCCGACAGAGATGGAGATGGTGGCTCTGTTGGCCTTGGAGGATGCTAGGGAAGGGCAGAGTCAATCCAGGCAAAGCTTTTCAGGATCAAAAAGGCTTGCAGACAGGGAGGAGCAGGAGAGACAGCGCTCAGGCAAAGAGCAAGGACCCCCCCCCCCTTCCTGATCCTAGAGCACGGAGAGAAGAGAGAAGGTGAGACCAATGCAGAGTAAACCGGCTACGAGGGAGGAGAGTGCCCCGATCCCCTTCACAAGGCACAACTGGGGACTGAGATGTAAGGAGGTGCCAGTGGGAGGGGCATTTGCCAAGAACAAGCGTTGAATCTGTGAAGCCTTATGTGCATTTGCCGACACCTGGATATTGCTGTGGGGCTTGCCTGGTTTGTCTGCTTCATTGAACTTCTGGCCCTGGTTACTGTTTGGTTAAACCTGGCTTATTGGACTGCTGGGCATGGTTACTGTTTGGCTAAACCTGGCTTATTGGACTGCTGGCCCTGGTTACTGTTTGACTAATCTTGCTTACTGGATTACTTGCAGCCAGAAGTTGCTGAAGGTACATGTGAGAGCTTTGCTCCAGGACTTGTAATAAATATGGGGACATTTGGTGGCAAAGTTGGAGCAATAAAGGGGAGTTAGACCTGTTCTCCAGCTCTGTTGCTTTTTGTCACAACCCGGGTCATCACACAGTCCATTGTACCATATTCAATAGAATAGAATGAATAAAACCGTGGTTTTGTGTAATTAGGTGAATCTGTCCAAATGCATCTCCCTCAAACTTCCTGTTGTAGCCATGGTGCATCTGGTGGGACTTGGTCCCTGCTGGTGATAGGATAAAGGCAGACCCATCTCCATCTTTATGTGCCCTGCAGCATTCCAAGTGCTCAGTTTTAAAAGATGCAATACATGTGGAACAATATTATTCCTATAAAGATTGAGGAAATAATCTGTTTTCCGTGAATAAGGAATGCATGAAGGGATTCATTTTCTGCCAGAAGTTATTTAGAAAGGGTTTAATCAGAATAATAAGACAGACTCCACTGAAGGAGCAATTTTCTACCCACATCATATTGTAGATCTGGGTGATGGTTAAGAAATGGATGGAATAACAGAATAATAAAGCAGGCAAACAAAGGAAATATATCGCTGAATATTTCCAGTGTTTTCTCTTTAGCTTTTATAACTTGATTGCATTAGAAATTATTGCAGTTTTCTTCCACAATTAGATCACGTCAGTATATAATTTATGCATTTTCCCTAGGATCCAGCCTTAATAATGCAAATGAATGCACTGGATTTGCAACAAACACATCAGTATTTTGTGAAACAAGTGATGGTCCTGGCCACAGTCAGAAGCTCATCCTGTTCACTTTTGGGCTGAGACACCACAGTTTTTCTTACCTTCTGGCCTTTTAGTCCAGCTTCTCCAGCTACTCCCTAAAGCAGAGAAAACAAATACAAACTGAATAGTTTCCCACCCAGACCGATTGATTGCAACTACCTTATGGCAGCTGGAAATTCCTTTTATAGTGGTTTGTCAGGCAATCTAACAAGGAAGCTCCTAGCAGTATCTTCTGCAATCTTGTTCTGCATGGAACAATGGCATCAGCTGTCAAATCACAGCAAGATCTACTGTGGAGTCTTTGATGCTCTCAAAGCTTGGTGGTTTTCTTGCAGACGTTTCATTATACAACCAGTAGTGGGTTCCTACCGGTTCAGCCTGGTTTGGCCGAACTGGTAGTGGCATGCTGGCCTGGATCACAGAACCGGCAGTGACCCAGGCTGGCCACGCCTCCGAACTGGTTCCCCAGTTGTTGCAGTTGCCACTGCTATCTTATTTTTGAGTTCTGTGCATGCACAGAACAATTTCTATTGAATTGTGCATCCAGCGCAAAGAAGCAAACTGAGCTCAGGGGAGTGCAGTCTGGGTAAAACCCCAGGCTGTCACTGTGGCGAAAGGAGACAAAGGGGTTGATTGACATCTAGAGAGAGATTTTGTTAGCCAACTGTCTATGGAGATTCTCAATCATCCAGGTCATGGTTGTCCTAAAGGTGCTTTTCATGGCAATTGGGCTGTCTTGGTTTTTTCCCATGAAAAGTTGAACTGAAGAAGCTTCTTGGATAAGAAGTGAAATGTTTTCAAGGAAAAAAAAAACCCAAGAAAGTCCAGTTGCCTGTTTTGAAAAGCATTTTTGTCAGCCAACTCTATTTTGAGCAAGTTTATGTAGTCATCGCATTGAACTAAAATCAAAAGTAGACTCCTTTCCACTTAAATTCAATCCTCTTTCATTGATAGAGTCATCTTATTGTTGAAATGGGCAACATATATTGTGTTTCTCGGAGTATAAGATGCACCCTTTTCCCTCAAAAAACAGGCTGACAATCTGAGTGTGTCTTATACATCGAATACAGCATTTTTTGCCTCCTGAAGCCCCACCCCTTCACCAAAATGGCCGTGCATAGCTTGTAGGAGGCTTTCAGAGAGCTCCTGGGGACTGGGGAGGGCAGAAATGAGCAAAATTGAACCTTTT